TTGACTTGTGATCATTGTGACTTTCTATCAAGGAAATACTACAGATACAACATCTTTTATCGAGGAATCTCCGATGCTCCTCCATCGCTCCTTTCGATTAATAGCTTTTACAACTTTGAAGAGGATGCCTCAAAAAGTTCCGTTATGCCTCAACACGAAACCAACTGTAATAGACAGTAAAACCACTCTAAATTGCCTCTAGGTGGGCCAAATTGCCAACTACGGGGGCAAAGATACTTTAAAAATCGCTTTAGTATGTGAAACTAGTCGAAAAATCGCAAAGAAGCAGCATAAAAACTCGAATATTTTGAAAACGTATACGTGTCTTATACAATACTTCACAGCTATGGCTTCGTTTGTTATACTAGAAAGCCTTGGCGGGCAAAGGTTCATGGGATTGGAGCTTTATTTGAGTTTTAGGGGCTAAAATGGAAAGGGTTCGGAAAAAGCTTCAGCCGCCATTTTGTGATGGAAATGATATTACCAAAACTGGTAATGTTCCGGACTGATGCATAAATAAAAAACAACAACCACAGACCATGCGATACTTAGAGTATAATAGAATAGCTGTGAAGCTTGACCTATCTGGGTGATTTGAGAAAATGCGACTAGCCAATCAGCGCAAAGCTGACAAGCTTATGTTGTAAACATAACCCCCCGACGGGAGGAATTCGCACAGCAAAACTCGACCCAGTGGAGTAGGCTGCCTGCCATTTTATTCTATCCGAAAAATCAAAGCTAAAACGCAAAGAGAAATTGAAAATATTTATCAAATAGCTTTTATTAAATGTCAATCAAATATTCATCGTTATAGAAATAGAATTTTATCTTAAAATGAAATAACAAATATTTTTTCTTTAATACCAAGAGACTCCCCTCCCTGATAAAAAATAATTGGTCTGTGTTCTACGCGGGTAATGGCCGACTTCATGAAGACTTCAGAAGGTCGTTGAAGCGACGTTCAAGTCCAAAGTATCTTAGGAGGAACCATTGCAAATCCTTTTTCTTAGCTCTTGTTTCCTCTAAGCTTTGAGGTATCTACAACATCACTGAAAGAGCTAGAGCAGCTTAGCTCCACGTATTCCAATAGAGTTAAAGCGTTTAATATTTTTGGTACAAATCAACTGTCGTAGTTCATCCTTTTTCGCATTTTCGGCAATAAGCCGCAAGCAACAGGTTGACGTTATGTAACAGGTCGGTTACACATTTACTATCTTTGACCTTACAACGAGAGCTAGAACGGTGACTGCGGTTTTTCGTGTAATGTCTTGATAGCGACTGTTTATGTTGCGAAACGACTCAAAACAAAATTCCATCGTGAAAAAAGTTCGACTAAATTCCCTTGCTAAAAAACACGTGTGTATTTAAGGTGGAAAATGTTTCATATGAGCATTCAATTCTTAAAGGTTTAATTCTATAATCATTTTGTTTAGTTTTGTAAATAAATTTAACACGACTTGTACTGTTTATCTCAGCGAAAGGAGAGCTGCGGTTTTTCCCTTTCCTTTATTTTCACTTTCAAATATGACCGCTTATAACAAAAATGCACGGGCTCACTGGCTTACAACCATGGCGAATTCATATGCACGCCTGGTCGCAAATCAATCACCCAGATTATATGTTTATATACGGCTTGCGTGAAAGGAACCCGTGAATATTAAATTCAAATTATGGAGGCTCTTGCAAGTGACATCAAATCATCGAGAAGCAAGTGTTTCATTCATGCAGTTCAATGATAGTTGAGTTTCGCCATCTGATCTGTTAGCCTCAATTATGTGCAAAATATTCATAAATATAGATAAAAAACTTTCACACTATTTTCAATGTCTTCTTAGCCTGCGTGGCCGGTCTCTAGGGAAACGCCTCCACATCCCCTCCCCTTCCCTTTCCCCCTCAATAGCCTCCTGTGCAGGCTACACTAAGAATCGCGGGCTTCCTCTCTTTTTTGGCAGTCAGAAGAGGGAGAATGGGGCCGAGAGAGGAGAGGTTTYGTTGCTTTCTCGTCACTAGTTGCTAGCGGCCAATTTGACCGTTACAAAGGACCCCCCAAAGGAGGAAAAAAGAGCTGCCTGGAGAGGAGGCTAAGAACACAGCACGCTTGGTGAACTGTCGTGGCTCGCTATTGACATCTCCTAAAATAGACCGCTTTCCTACGTCGAAAATGGTTTTGTTTTGCAGATTAATTACCCCTGACTGTCAACAGTTATCAGATAATTCAATAGATTTGTGTGAAAGTACTTTGCAGTGGGTGATTTGGCAGTTATTAAAGAAAATCTTTGTTGACATAGTCACATTGAATTTGTTTGTCTACCGCTGGGCTTTTAGCGAGCTTTCAATGATGAAACGACTCGTTWATAAAATCAAGTGCATCTCCATGCCTTAAACATTACAAAAAAAAACACTTTGAATTATAATAAGTAATGGGGAAAGGTTGTATCTATAGTAGAGAAGTAACAATTAATTAAGAGTTTAAAACAAACACGAGCCTCTTTGAGTGTGTCCGAAAAAAGCAATTAAACTCTAAAGAAAATAAATTAACTAGTGTCCGTTCGGAAATAGAATATGGAAATCCGAAGCATACTGTTATTRAAAAGTCCTTTTCCTTAAAAAACTCTCCCTGGTTCAATTACTAGTAATTCAGTTTTATCCCGCTTGGTACTGATATTGAATYTCCAACCAAAAAAGCAACTTGTCGGCAAAGCTTAAAAATAAAAAATAGAGCTTGATTCATAGTTTAATATATTTTCCACAAGACAAACACACTTCTTTACTAGTGAACGTTCAAGATTAGGCATTGAACAATTCATCGTATAAAGTTGCAAATACGACCACAGACGCAAATAGATTTTCCGTCGTGAAACTTTCCATAGCAAAGACGTCAACTTGAGGTGACCATGAGCATTGACAAGCAAGATCAATCCCTCTATCGAGTGTTGCCCCAATATAAACGAGAACCATCACTTTATAGGACGCACTGCATAAGGCTTTAACACGTTTTTCAATAAGTTGACTGATAACTCTGCCCTTTTCGCCGCATTCTCTATGGTTATATTCAATGTCCATTAGCTGTGCGTTCAGTATTTCTTTRATGATTTCCTTGACTTTTAAACATTGAATGGAAAAGTCGCCATTGAGCTTATCATTCCTGACTGTTGGTTTGCTAACCAGTTTGATTTCTGAGTCGTTGTTACTGATGCTGTCTTGATCAACGGCCACAGCACCATTTGGCAGACAGTTGCCCAGGAATTCGCCATTATCAGAACTTGTTGTTAAACATGGCGATATGGTAATAAAGACATAGTTGCTTTCTTCTGTCAACTCGTGATGTTTGTCGTCTTGAGAGCGATCACTGGTTCTCAAGTCAACTGCAACGTTAGCGGATAAACGTGCCGTAGAAACGAGYTGGCTCGCAGTGTGAGCCGTGTACGCACGACGCTGAAGTTTTGGTCGGGAAAATACTCCAGTTGCCTTTTCAATTGCCGCTGAGATTGGTCGTTTTGGGAAGGCACACTTCTCTGTCATCTTCGTGTCTGAAACTACGAGTCGAGAGATTGTTTTTGAAGTCTTTTAAAAGAGTCTGACTTTTTAATTCACATATGGACGCATATCACCTTACACCAAGCCGCTTATTGGTAACAAAACAGATTGCAGCGATAATTTTCAACTTCTTCAGGATCTTTTAGCTGCACTTCTTTTTCGAAGATGCGTAAACATTTACGTATAAATACGGACATTGGTTGACCTCGTATTCTTAGCCTCCGTGTCAGTGTTTCGTGATTGAGACTGAGGGTGCAAGACAAATACAATTAGACGTCCTAGACGAGCCTTTTAATTGCAGGATTAAGTAGGTCAGGAAATGATATAAGAATTAAATCTGGTCTCCAGACCTGAAGAAACACGCACTCTTTATATAGACAAGGCTAAGCGGTTCGCATTAAAGAAAGAAAAGAAGAAAAATGAAAATATAGTGTACTTCCGCGCAAAAGGGTTAAAAGGTATAACTCAGCTGCCTTAACCAGTGGTTGCAGTCGGCAATTGCACTGTTTCATTATGACGTCACTGTATGTTTACATCAGAGAAAGATGCTYTAAAACAGTGGAAATTTGAATTCAATTTATTATATTTTCCCTGYATGTTAACTTCAATGTATCATGTTTTGATATATGTCATGTATCAAAGATTGCTCATGTGCATTTTATTCGATCTGCAGTCAATCTGATCCCATGTGGCCCGACCATAATCCAGCATCAAAACAATGTTTTGATGTGACGTCATAATGAAATAGGGCAATTGGACGAACACAACACGCGGTAGATGCCGTCGCTGCATAATATTATATCTTGAAATATCTGGAAGTATAAAGATTAATCAGATAAACTCGATCAATAAGAGTTATGTGTTGCGACTCGACATCCCAGTCAGCTCAGATGAATCAAGATGGCGATCTCGTTGATAAAAACAGCTTTCAATACAAAATTTATCAGTTTTTAGATTTATTTTTTCTTATTTACAAAGTTCGGTGCCCTATTTTCCGCAAATTCAGCTGGTCTAGGCTGTGTGATTTATTGTCTGAGAAAACAGAAAACTGATATCGGCCTACTACCTATGATACTAACAATCTTAGTAATCTTCCACTATGACTATTATATATTATATATGCTCGGTCCAAATAATTATTTACAAATACACCAGATTGAAAAAACATAGTGTTCCAAAAGCTTTGATCACGAAAGCCAAGGCCGAAAGGGAGTATGGGAAAGCAAATATTGCAAGGATAACAGAGTTTCGCGCCTGTCAAAGATTGCCTGCACCGAACAAAACGATCTTCTTTTGAAATAGTCATTCTAACTGTCAGCCGTATACAAACATGGCCATGGAGGCCTTAACGCACTGTACTTAGACCAAATTGCACATGTATAGTTTTGTACACGAAAAGGATCATTGTTTTCTCATTAAAAAAGTATTTATCATATAATTATCTATGAAATCAAATAATTATCTATGAAATACCTATCATTTCTCAATGTCGTAAAGTTGATATTTTCACTAATAACACATTCGAGGTTTCTCTATGTAGTGGAAGTTAGAAAAAAGTTATTTTACGACATAATTTGCTTTCATATGTAATTATATGATAAACAGAATATTACATGGTCGCTTGGAGATACGAATTTTATCTTCTCGTGTTGAAAATCTCTCACTCGTTGCTACGCTCACTCGTGAGAGATCTTTTCAACATTCGAAGACAAAATCCGTATCTCCGCGCGCCCATTTAATATCCTATTTCTCCATTACGTAAAGTTGTTGTTTTCACTAGTGAATATATCACATTCTTGGTATCTCTATATATTGGAGGTAAATAAAAGTTATTTTAAAAGAAAATTTGCTCTTTCATTGATAATCACATGTTAAACAGAATATTACATTGGCCGCTTGGAGATACGAATTTTTTTATCTTCTCTTGTTGAAAATCTACACTTACGCTCACTCGCAAGAGATCTTTCCAACACTCGAAGATAAAATCCGTATCTCCGCCCGGCCATGTAATATCCTCTATACATCAGCATACGCAGGTCATGCGGTTTTCTGCACACGTGTCATATTGAGTCAGGTTTTAAAATTTCCTTATTACAATTTGTTATTTATTCGTAGTATTAACGTGAMATTTGATTATTTGTAATCTATTGTCTTTTTGGACAATATTCAATAATTGGATTGACTAGGTGTGAGATATGATATGCTATGTAAAACGCCAATAGTAGTTTCTCATACAAATGTCAAGAATAATTAATTCTCCTGGTTAATCCGCCAATAAAAACTGGATCTATCTATGGAGAAAATACATGTATTTCAGTTCTTAAAATTAAGCCTATGGACACAGATGGAAAAGAAATAGAAGATCCGTATAAGGAATAAGGATCATCTTGAGTTATAGAGGAAAGTCAAATAAATAATAATGTTCGAGAGCAGTGTCAATCATGATCAACAAATGACCACTTTATGGGAAAGTTTCCCTTTTTCATTCAATTCATTCCTTCACTACGCCAAACACAGTTGCCACAGCGAACAACGATACGTTTCTAAACGTTGCAGTAACGTAATTATCTTTTCCATTATTCCAAACGAATCGACTGGCCATCAGTAAACCCTGGCCGCTGCACGAACCGATGGAGACGTGACAGATGATTCGATATCGATTCATTCCCAGATCTTTGACTCTCTGTTTGATGTCTTCAGAGATGGTTAAACACAGATCCTTGCAAGCGTTAGACTCGTACGATCTTGTAGACAATTCCTTATCAAGAATAGTCTCCATAAGCAGCTTTATCTCATGCTCTTGGAACAACGCGTCCTGCTTTGTGGAAGTGGCTCTTGATTGTAGCGGGAAATCTCTTTGATTGATCGATTTTTCTCGCGTTTTTAAAGGACTTTCATCGCGGAGAGCTTTTCCTTGCCTGCGYTCTGCTTTCGATTCTACTCTGTCTTTTCCTTCGCTTCTTAAACTGCGTTGAAATGGGCTGCTCTCTTGCTGTCGAATCCGTCGATCGCTTTCTCGACTGTACATTTGGACTTACTGTCAGATTTTCCCCTGCGCTCTTTTCTGTACGAATTTCCTATCTTAACTYTGCGTTGTCAAAAAGATGGATATTCTGGTTGATTAATATATGCAAGCTAACTGTTTAGGCCCTTTTGGTAGATAATTGTCTTCAAACGGATAAAGATACCCTTATAACAGGCAACAAAAAGTGGTTCAAAAAGCAATCCAGCTGTTCTCATACTACGACCGTTGTCATGCCAACGKTTTTTGTTCCATATGTACACAGGAAGAAAGAGCAAACGCACCGGTCAGATCGAATCATATCGTATGTACAATCAATCGAACAATAAAATTAATGTCAACGAAAAAAACCTACATTAAGRGAATTGAAAACAATGAAGGGTGTTTACATTTGCTTCRAGRATTTTTTCATTTYTTYCGCTGTTAGACTCCGATCKCGCGCCWTYATATACAACACTTAATACCTGATGTAATATCTAACTTTATCAATATTTCGTTAATGCCTACAAGAATAACGTTCAGTACATCAATTATCAATGAATGTATTTGAATGCTGTAGTCTTTTATCGCTGTTACGAGTACTGATCAATATATTCAACCTATTTCTAACTTAAAACGCTCAGTTTGCCGAAGAAAGCCGAAGAGCTGTTCGGAACGTCCTTATAAAACAGAGATATATAAATGTACAAGTTAGTGTTTTGTCGTACAATACTCTACTCGGCAAAGCATCTTTATACTGTACGATATTTTCAGTAGATATTCCTTAAATATAGTACACTAATATTTCTTGCAAAATGTCAATGAAAAGTATAGTAATACACATGGAAATGTTTACTTTTACTTCATCAACATTTCTTTTATGTGTTGACAAAACGTAAAAAGCAATTACATTTGTAATCTTTTAGTCTAACTCACTAAACAATGCTTAAAAATATTGGTCTCTGATGGGTTTATTCAAATGTGGTGAAGCGGAAGTTTATACCATCTCTAATGAAAATACTTCTCGGTTCACTTTATTTTTACATTTATCTTTAATATAACATATGAAAAATAGGAGGAGAGGTGATTCTTTTTGGGAAGCAATCATTATTAGTGCGCTGACCCTATTGAAATCGTATTCGATTTACTCCGATAAGTTCGATTTAATTCAACGTTCAAACGTTTTTCCTTTTACATCGTAACGATTGATAATGCATGGTTCAATTAACGTTCAATTTTATAGATCTTTCGAATTTTCTGCTTTATATTAATTAATTTCGGTTGAACGTTCGATTAAACAGTTTGATCAAACATTCGATTTTATTTCATGTTCCAATAATGGTGATTAGATTTAATATTAATCCTATTAAAGAAGTTAATAAYAATAAAAATTTCTGAATGCATAAATTATACGCGACAGATGCGCACTTAGTTAAGATAGAACTTGCACCTGCTGTAGTCTGGTAGTGTACGCGCAAAACGAATTTGAACAGGAATCCCAACGAATTGTTTGAGCTTTGTTTCTCTTCCCAGGAACTCACTCATTGTCTAAATACGTCAATCATTTCTAACAATATTTACCAGAGACTCTGCATCGCTTAAATAGTCAAAATGTCCATTAGCATTATTGCGACGACAAAACATGTATTTCCTTTTAAYTTTTTTGAAAAACGCTCAATTGCTGTGTATGTTGCGTCTCCTTCACTTTTGAATCGCCAGGATGTGGCGTCCCCTTAAATGCTTGAAAAAATCAAAATACAATGCATCCCCTTATTTTTAAAAAAAAACAATCCAAAACATGAAATACAGTGCRTCTTTAATTTATTGAAAAAAGTCAAAACATGTTGAGCTTGACTTCTTAATTTTAGCATAAACCAAATGTCACCTGTTTTGAAAAATTCAAAATTTTGCTTCCCTTTACATATTTGAAAAAGCCAGAAACGTGATGCTACCCCTKAATTTTTGAGAACTGCAAAACTAAATWTTGGAAAAGTCCCCTTAAAGTTTTGAGAACTCAAAATATGATGCGTCACCTCACTTTTGAGAACTGAATGCGTCCCCTTGATTTTGGAAAAATCCTAAATATGTTACGTCCCCATAATTCATATAAATTTTTGAGAAGTCAAAATATGATGCGTCCCCTTTGAGAACTGCAAAACATGATGCGTCCCCTTATTTCTTAATATTTGAAAAACATGATGCATTTTCTTAAATTTTTGAGAAAGTCAATATATGATGTGTTTTGAAAAAGCCAAGACACCGATGAGTAAAAAACACATGAGATCGTACTGTATATGTGTTGATATTTAGTATTTAATAAGGTTTGAAAATAAACGAATTTAGCTCTAATCAGCTACATAACCAGCATGAAACGTCAGTAAGATAATCATCTATAGTATTATAAGCATTATATAATAATAATAATCCGAATTGCTAATTGTACTGTTAAAAAAACACCCTTGTCTAGGTGTAATAACATAAAACTGGAACGTCTAATCATTTAGTGAAATATCCCTCGAAGTACAAAGCACATACATTTAGCATTGACAGTTTAGCCTGTCTTGACAATTTCACTTATGGTTAGTTGATCGGAGGTTAAAAGAACATYACCTAATGACATTGCATTTGCCAGTGCGAAACCGAGGAGGACTGGGAATAAAATTCTCTACAATTCTCTACTCGTTCCCAGTCCCCCACTCGTTTTTGCAATGGCTGTCAGCGGTATACCCAAAGAAACTTCTTTTTTTTAGTGAAAATACCTCATTAACAAAGTTTAAAAGAAAGCGAAAGCTACAAAGATATTGTCAATAAGTATTGGCAATTACATTGTTTAGGATCCAGAGACTTGTGGTCATCAAAAGAAACCATTAAGAATTGATAGTTTTCTTCGYGATTACTTCAACACGTTGGCAGTGCCTTGGCAGCCAATGGCATTTATAGCTCTTGAATCAAAATAATCCATGTCTATACATCATTAGACATTATTATTTCATTAGGAGATCCTTAAAGGGATTAATACTGTAGAACAAGCGTTTCATTTCTCTTTTGTGGAATAAGTGGCGTTATTTTCTTATTGCAGACTTGACAACTTAGTCATCATCGAATCCCTGGCTTAGAAGAAAGTTTGCAGCGAGATTTTCGTTCTTTTCGCAGGCAAAGTAGGCCTGGACGGCCATGTTTTCAGAGAATCCAAGTGCTTTTAGCTGATAATAGAGAGAGAAAAAGTCAGCAAATATTATACTTTCAGTTAGAAATATCTTAATATAAATGGAGATACTGTAAGATTCGACCTTAAAACCGATGGATGGAAACGGATTGCGAATGGATATTCTCATTTTCCATATATGAAAAATCTAAAACATGACCGCATTGAATGCTGGTGGACCATGTCGTTTTAAGCCATCTTTCCAACGGCATACCATTGAGGGTGTGGTTTAAATCCTCTACCGGTAGAGTATGGAATAGAAGACGAAAGAAGTTGCTCTTTTAGTAATGATTAATATACCTAGTCGGACAAAATCCACAAAGGTAAATCTCTTATTGTGATRAAYGCCCTTGCGATCACGTGTCCGCAATGAAGGGATTTATTTTAGTGTTCGYATTAAAGGGGTATTCGTAATATYGGGGTGTCCACMWGGGGAAAGTTGACTGCATTTTCAGTCATTTTARCTTTAGTGCAAGGACACATTTTCATGATTTTAAGGCGACACAAGGCACTGAATAATGTAACAGGGAACAGTAAAGGGTTTTGTTTTCCAACTTACTCTTTCAATTGCTTCTTTCTCTGTTGGTGTTATCTGTATATAGCTAACACCTGGTGGTGGCTGTTGTCCCCCCTGATCCCCTGGAGCAGGTACGTCTTGACCCTGTGCTGTTGCAGGGGTACCAGAGGCAGTTCCGGGGGGAGCGGGTGCATTTAACATTCGAATGAACTCTTCTTGTCTTTGGCTTATCAGCTGGAAAGATTTACAACATATTCCTGGTTTTCAGTAATGCTATAAAGCATGATATCAAAGCAAAAAACCCTTTTAATATAAGGAAATTACCAAGATAAAATAGCTTAGATTTATAGGCAAATTTAACACCGTAAAAAAGTAGATGAAACTTGCTGATGTTTCGGACGTTATTCCTTAGTCTTTTTACTTCGACCAAGGATCAGTAACGTCCGAAACGTCGGTAAGTTGCTTCACCTACTTTTTTACGTTGTTATAAATTTTTACACAAATGTTCCATAAGTATTAATGATTATTAGACAAAACTGATGAATGAGCTTGATTAGTACCTGTAGAAGTTCTGGGTTTGAYTGTGACATTTGTTGTAGTAGCTGAGGTAGAACTGCTGGGTTGTTTTGGATCATTGAACGCATCTGTATAAACTGGGGCAGATTCCATAAAAAGTCCAGYGAACCTGATTCTAAAGACACACATTCGTTACCACTGAATTAGCACTCGTACAGTCCCATGTACATGCTGACTGAGTGGGAGGGCCATGAAGAAAAAGAAAATTTGGCTCAAAATAATGCCATACGGACCGAGCACATTCAGTTAAAAAAAGCAAGAACATTGAGAAAACACGGTTAAAACAAAATACAAAAATCGAAAGCATGCACAACTCCATGGTTACATTTTTTTTTGAAGGTCTTTATTTGGAGTGCGCATGATCCACTTGAGCAAAGTCACACAAGCCCCATCATATGTCATTTTTGTGTGTGCACTGAGGAAAATGATATGAACTATGTTCTGATTCTACTATGTTCCAAAGCCTTTTGCCCTTCATTACTTTATGTTATATAACACTTATATATTATTTTTATATACGTCTCGAAGTGACCATAGACATGTCTCGAACCGTCCATACGATGTGTCTCGAAACAACCTGTCTCGAACTGGCAATGTCTCGAAACAACCGGGCACCGAGGAAAATACTGGTCGTATAATAAAACATCTTTAACAGTTTTATCGGGGTAACTTTTAAGACAAAGCTTGCAATATAGGGAAATATAATGATCTTATCTCAAAAGCCGAGTTTAGATATTTTGGTTCAGTGACCATGCACAGAAGAATTGCAGACGAGGCTCCGGGGAAATAAAAGAATAAATCAAGATCATCCATTGTTTTTCCGGAGCCTCGTTCTTTTGTACATAGTCATCGCGAACCAAAATATCTAAAGTTGACTATTCAATGTTTGTTAATGCTGTACCAGGAGAGGTTCCATGACCACACAGTACATGTCTGTGTACATAAGATATACAAAGCTGCTACACAGTACATATACATGTATTTATAAAATTTTTCATATATAACGCGCGCTCTGATTGGCTGACGACCGTGTTTATATCAGAGGACAGAGACATGGCTTACCGGTAAAATTTTCTTTTCGCTCGAAAAATTTTATAAAAGAAATATAAAACGGCCGCTTGTGTCTCTGTCCTCTGATATAAACACGGTGGGAGTTGAAAAACACTTGAGAAGCAAGAGAAACACCCACAGTGTTTATATCAGAGGACAGAGACACGCGCGCCGTTTTATATTTCTTAAATAAAAAGGACAAAATCCAGTCATCATCAGCCTTGAGAAACTTCAATAAACATTAGCTTTTGATGAACTCACCATCAGTATCGCCACCCGCAACAACACCACCACCACCACCACCACTGGTTTCCATTGTACCTCCAGTTTCTTGGCCTTCCCCTGAGGGTTCATCCATTGGGATGTCAGGTATACCCTTAATATAGACATGATATTTCATAGGTTAAAATAAGCTTATCATGCCGGTATAATATTCTATAAAATACCTATATTTCTCCATTATGTAAAATGATGATATTTTTACTAGTGAAAATAAGACATTTAAAGTTTTCTCTATATACTGGAAGTAAGAAAAAATAATTTGCTTTCATATATAATTATATGATAAACAGAATATTACATGGTCACTTGGAAATACGAATTTTATCTTCTCATGTTGAAAATCTTATCAACACTCGAAGATAAAATCCATATCTCTGCATGCCCATGTAATACCCTCTATTTCTTATGATAAAAAAACAGATAGATTACAAGGAATTCTGATATTTCCAYGCTCAGGGACCAYAAAAGAAGCACCAAACCAAGGCATCAAGGAGAAATGATCTGTTCTTTAATAAGCATGTACATTAAGGTTAAGAAATGCTGGTTTATGGAAATTTGTTAAAGGACACCTACAATGTATAACTGGGGACAGAATATTTGAGACACCCCTAGCGCCGTAATATAACATTCTGTAATGATAATCCCTTTTTCATTTTCATTGAAAAAATACTTACACACATAAGRTACTCCACTGCTCTATCGGGATTGTTGAAGCTTGCTCGTAGAGCCCTCACAACCTGTATCCATTATAATATTTCATTAAATGAATTATAAAACTAGTCTGAATGGTGAAGGGTTAYTTTATACAAGTAAAAAGTTTGGTGCTGCTGTTGGTTGTTGCCTAAAAGGTTGACACTTTAAAKGGACACTGTCAATGGATGACATGYGCAGTAACAGTCTCACCTCTAACGGACTTTGAAAGTATTACCTTTGAGGTAAATCATTTTGTGGTGCTTTTGACACACTTTGGGATATTCTAGATCTGTTTACGTTTACCAGCTGATTTAYGTCGCGCCAACTTGGCGTCATAAACTTGAAAACACTAGCCTAATGKTTTCAAGTTTACTTGCGCATGTGTGCCATTGACAGTGTCCCTTTAACTATAGTAGAGAGATCCAATTCTGAAGTTGAAAACCTGCAACAGCTTCAAAGGGTTCATACATGGTTTGTGCTACATTTTCATCACAAAATTCTAGAACAAGTTTTCAATACTCCATTTTCGAATTCAAAGCGAACAACTGCTGCTTTATTTGAAAGCAGCTTTCCTTCTTGTACTTACATTATTTTCTCATGCGTTCTTTTGTGTTTGTAAGGTCTTTGCATAAGAGAATCGCTTTAGATTTGAAAATGGAGTATTCCAGGGCTTTCAAGAATATCAAGGAGGTAACACAGACCCTCTTGATATCTTAAAATCCTCATGCAGACCATTGTTCATACTGTATTACAGTGTACATGGATAAGAATAGTAAATATTTTATTACCTTATCCCTTTCAAAGCCCATTGACATTATTTCTGTGACTAAATGTTCATATTCACTTCCAGTAGCTAAAGGAAAGAAAGCATTTGAATAAGTACAAGGCCTGTGCTTTGAAGTAAATGTACATGTAGAAAGGCAGATCTATGATTTAGGATTGTTGCATGTGACTTGTAGTAMATGTATATGACTCAAATGAGCTCCAATTTGCAGTCAATGTGTTCATGTATATGTCCCTATGACTTGACTACAACAGTCCTACTCAACCTACGACTTGTAGAAGGGTTTTGAACTACAGCTCAATAATTTGTTGTAGGACAATTAAACACTACAAGCCACACACGACAATGGTACCATGTAAATATGCCTTTATTAATGTTTTCTTAAACTGTTACCTAAGACAGCCTCAGCTGCTACCAATGGGTCAGAAGACTGCGAGGTGCTACTGGCTTCAGTTGTTGACACTGCTGGTGTTGTAGGAGCTGCTTCAGTACTGAAAAAATCAGATCAATAAACATGTAAAATACTTAAAGCAGTACATGCTCACAGTTTACTTGTGGCTGCAGTTTTCATAAAATATGTAAACTCTGAATTCAACAGCCATACATGTACATCACGGCTTTAACAGCTTAACATGTATGTGCACATGTAAGAGAAGTTCAGAGTTTTGATTGACAAGAGAAAAAGCATCAAATACCAGTAGGCAATGTGCAGCAACACGCCATTTTGTGTAGCAAAAGATGATGGTACAGTAGCTACACCATCATAGACCCTAAAATATCTCTTAAAACGACTTTTTACACTTTCTTTGTAGAAACACAAAATCAATATCTACGGTATTTTGGCTTAGAAAAAAAAATTCCTGACTGTTTTAGTGGACATGAAAAAATATGAGTACTGCAACTACCATCATGCTTTGCTGTACAAAATTGCATCGTTATACAAACTTATGAAGATTGAAATAGAAATTAGGTACATGAAAAAGCTGCTAAGTCTAAAGTATGAAAAATGTCTTTGACACTGAGAATAAAGTAGGCAAATATTGATGTAGACAAGATGTAAATAAGATTATTACGTGGCTGGTTTGGACTCTTCCTTCTTGGCTTCTTCAGGTTTTGTCTCTGCTTGTTGTTCTGTACTTCTTGTTGATGTTGATGGAGTTGATGAGGCCTAAAAAAAGTACAACAACTTTAACTGACACTGCAAAAATGTATTGACTTTTCACTGACGCCTTGATTAGAGTTATTAAAACTGATACAATATCAGTTCGTCTGAGAAGAATATACATTAAATAMAATTTTACCTGTGTTGTTGTTGCTGGTTGTGCCACAGGAGCTGGTGCTGATGCTGTTGCAGGTTTAGGCTGAATATTAAAGAAATTATATTTAATAAATGAATTGAATAAACCAATTTTCTGCTTTCTCTCAAGGACATTGGAAAGTAAACTATCCAATTTTTGTGGACTTCAGGAGTTYAGTCCAATGTCTGTCTGTGATACTGTAAGTCAAAATGATTTTCGATTGACARCTCAAACAAGATACATGTTGTTTTTATCATGGTGCATATTCACGACTTTTAAAAATGGCACAATGTGCCACGGTTACGGACCAGGGTCGAAGTACTAAAACAAGGTCTCAAAGGCCARCCTCWGTATACATTGTACTAAACTTGGATGGTGTCTTGCAAGAGCRTATTCTTAGAAATACAATACCAATACATCCTTCAAACTTTTGGACACTACCTATATGYRATTTTCATAGTGAGTTTTAGATGTTTGTTGAGATCTCGTTTTCATGATTAATCACTAGTCCCCCAATATTGGCAGTAGTGAACTATCACTAGTTTTGAAAGYCATGTATAACATGCAGAATTTGAGCTTATGCAGGAGTATTTCCAGTCAACAATGAATGAATTACCTTAGAAACCATTACCACAACAAAACTCTTTTCATCAATCTTGTAGTCGCTGACAGGAGAATCATCATTTAAAATTTTACCTGCAAGAAAGAGATGAAATTAAGACGAAAGAAAAATTTGAAATTGGACACATTGTAGACCTCTACTCCTTCTTAATTCTTTATCTATCTCTTATTTATATTTTTTCAATTAATTAATATTTATCTCAGTCTTTAGAACTATAGCTTATATAATATTTCTAGAATGAAATTTTAAAAATATCTATAAGTAATAAATAGTTATCCATGGATTAATATATAATTATGCAAAATATAATTCTGCACTCTTCCACAATATTTCCAGAGTTTTTTTCTGCACTCTTCAGGATTTTCTGGAGTCCATTCATAGTGATTACTCCAGCAGCATTCCTTTTTTTAAATATACATGTATAATACTGTTTGGTATACCTGCATATATAAGTTTAATTCCAAGATGAGGATAATCGCTGCCTTTTTCACTTTCAATCTGTTTCTTGAGCTCTAAGACCTGAACATGATAYAAATTTACCCATGATRCACCSCATGTAAAGATGYATTCAYATGCTAGCTGTCAGAAYTTTTGCAAATGCTGTAACCCATGATATATAAAATGTACCCAATATAATGATTAATTGATTAAAAACATACTTATCATAGTATTATTTTTTATGTTATATTATCATTTGCAAAAATATTTTCATGCAGACATATTCATGTACATTTATGTCAAGAAAAGTTCCTTTTTTATCTTCTTTTGTCAAATTTATCCTATAGCTCAAGGTAGATACTATAGAACAAATACACTACAGGGCCTGGCTGGTCAAAGTCCGATTAGCATTAATCCAGGGTTAACTCCATAGGTTTTCTAAGAGTTAACCCAGGATTAGCACTAATCGGGCTTTGAACAACCAGGCCCAGTAGTGCTTGGTCGTGTACTAGAAAGTTCATAGTCTCTTTGTTAACTACATGGAGACAAATAAAATGCATAAATACAGAGCTTTGTCCCAACTAAATCTCCTCTGTAATAAGTACTCCACAGACAAGCTTAACTTTTACTTTGCAGTCAAAAGACATGAAGTGCGCCCCCTCAAAACACCATTATTCAATTCATTATTCGATTCTTGGTCGATTCAACATTATATTATTGATATCAAATTTGAATTCAAACTTCCAAATTTGATTGGATTATTGATCAAACTTTCATTCTTCGTATTTTGCTTCTAAACATGCTGGTCTTTTGTAATTTCCACAAGTCGATGGATTGCAATATGCTGTCTGTTAATTTGGTTGGATCTGTTCCTTCTCGGGAGAAAGGAATGATGGTCTCAAAAAGCTGGAAATGCTGTGTTGTTTTCTGTCATTATCAGAGTTCGAGATGTGAATTTAATTTTTCATTAATCAAATGAAGTTTGAAAAATGAAATGAAAAAAATTCCAATAAGGTATTGAATAACAAACTATTTGGTGGGGAGGGGGGAGGGGGGCTTCACGTCTTTTTACTGTTAATCAGTCCAATGATGACAAGGATCATGTCATGGATCATTTCAATAACACTTCCTGTTCATATTACACCAGTTGATTTACAGCATTCTGTCATTCAGATTCTGAATTGTCAAGCATGCCAATAATAAACAATGCTTTCCTAAGCTTCTAACCTCATATCTTATCATATCTTATTCAAAATAAATTGACAAAAAGAAAAAGAAAGAAAWTTTTTGCACTGTCATGATTCCTTGCATTTAAGAACATTAACAAGTAATGTTTTCCAATCAAAGTTACCTATATTTGGAAGAATTATTCATAGTCAATAGTCAAATTACCATTAAAAATATTAAGTAATGGCTTGGAGCAATAAAATTTGGATAGAATTAAACCTTAATTCCACAAAAAAAAATATTTGGAAGCTTGAGTTGTAAGGATACTAAAATTTGTTTTATCTCGAAGTCACTACCAAATCTAGATATTTTTTTTCCTAAAAAGCATAACTTCACACTTAAACTTATTTATTGGTGACAGTGCAAAAATTAAAATAAAAGATTACTTTCACATTACTCAATCCGACCAAAGACCAACGATGACTTACCGACTGACTCTCGTCAAACTCGAGTTTAAATGTCTTTTGCTGGAGCGTTTTGAACGTAATAATCATGATGTAGACTTTAAGTAAAGATCGCCTGTCCTCCCTGTTGAGTTATGTTACTGTGGAATGCAATTTTCGTGATAATTTAGAGAGTTTTTTTGAAAGAATTGACTTCAAGCGTGCGCCATTACAAAGCACGCTACCAAACACGGCGATGTCATATGGGCTACTGCTCATGCGCAGTACAATGGCATGATGGGTAACACAGGCAACCCAAAATTTAACATTTTTAATCAATTTATTTGATGAATGGCAAATGTTAAAGTAATTCAAAGAACAGCTTATCATTAGATAAACTGATGTATCTATCTATCTATCTCGATGTCCACAATATTACTTATATCTATTTTGAGTGATTTAAGTGACTTTGATTTGATCCAGAATTTCCATCTAATATATATGCATTCCAAAATGCTCATACGATAAACGTTTTATCCAGTTAAGCCTTTTGAAAGACACCATACCTTTCCGACTGAAGTGAGTATACTTTGAGTACCGAATCTTCCACGAAGTCTATCCGAAGTTCACTCGGAAAASGACTCGGAAAAATGCCCATCCATGACAAAACCACGTAGAAAAATATTAGTATCTACTCAAATAAGGTACTCTCTGTTCATGATATTTAGATATCTGTCGTTGAAATGCTCAAAATATTCTAAAAACTGGGCTTCCTGTGGTGTGACGTCATACCACCTGCAAATGATTTAGGCCACCTGCTAGATACTCTGCCAAATTACTTAACAAATAAACAAAAAGCCGCAGTTCACAGCGGCTGTATGTAATGTATCGTCTTAGTGCAAAAGACTTTATAAAAGCTTTTCCTCAATGGCCCTACTTAGATGTTGAGTGACAATGACAGACTCGGGAATTGATTCGGCATTTGAGTCCGAGTACGAAACGGCGCACTTTGGAGATTTCCAGGTAAGTTTTGCATGCTCATATAGTGTCTTCTTTCGAGTGACTTTTATATATGAATATATGCGTCACTTTGTCCAATTCTCGGTAAGTAATCTTAAGAATATTTTTATTCAAGTTTTAAAATCACTGACTACCAAACGGTATCATTTGATAGTGGAACTAGAATGAATGGTTGATTCATTTTAATTCGCTCAGTTTTTAATCAGTTTTTCTTTTAATTTGCATCGATTTTTGGGGTTCATGAAGCAGGTTGTTGAGAAAGAAAGTTGTCTAAATTGCTCAAGTAATTGTGTAATTTATTTATCATACTTTGTATCTGGTCTGACTTTGTTTTGAACAATTTGTGACCAGTTTGTGAGGTTCTGCTAGTCACTAGGAGCGCCTTTCAGTTCTGCAACACAGTTCATTGTTATAATTTACTTGGTAACTTTTTCTTTTCTGTATCTTATCATGTCAATATAATCATGTAATGATGGCATAGAGAGGATGCGCAAAATAAGCTAAGAAAATTACAAAACTAAGATGTATTAATCAATTTAATCTGTGCTTCTTAATAAACTTGTCAAACTCTTGTAGGACAAGAGAATCACTTGATGAGAAACTAATAACTTTGACTGGAGAACCAGTTCATGCCTCTTTCATTAAAAAAACTCTTGAAATACTTAAAAACTCTTAAAATACTCATCAAATCAGTGTTGTGCGCAAAAAAGAGTACCGTGTATTTTGCCAAGTGAAGTGACTGTGTATAAACTGTATAACCAATAGTTCAAACTGGTATGACTGGAAAAACTGGAAAAGAAAGCTAGTAAGGAAAAAGTCATTGAAAAAAAAGAAATGAAGCAAAGAAAGGTTCACCGAAGCATTTCCACACCGACCTCCCAATTTTGGATGATCAGTCTAAGATGCGCAGTCTCTTTTGAAAAAAAAAAAAAACTTAGCCACGCGCATGAAGAAAACAAAAATTTAAAGACCGAGATATTGTTAATGTTTAAATGTTCAAGTGACGAGGTTTTCTCGTTTTTCCCTTAATTCCTCGTAATCACTGACGACTTGTCCCGCAATACAGAGCAGCAACAATGCAGCGACAAGCTGAGGTTTCTTGTACTTGTATGACTGAGAAATCGTCTTTTCAGATGGCTTACCTGCCTTAGACAAACAAAATTTGTGTCAAGTATACAAAGAAACAAAAATAATTGATAAAACGATAGAAAATAACCAGCAATTACTTCTTGTTGAATAACAAAATATTTAACGCAAATCAAGATCATGAAAAGGTCCAGGGAAAGGCCGCGCGGGTTTTTTTATGTTAGCTCTCTAAATGGGAACATGCTTACTACGCGCTCGCTGGGACCTTCGCTTTCGAGAGGAAATTAAAATACGGCAGTAAAGGACCATGATCGTATACGTAATCCGGTGATGAAAAAGGGATGCCCTTTTCAATTTGGCAAACGGGCAATCCATCATTACGCAGAATTTACAAACTCAAATCAAGATCACTACTGCATTTAACTCAATGATTGTTATTGTTTCATGCCTTAATCCCTAAAACAGGTCAGTTTACTTTAATTTTTGATAGACGTATGTCACACACAGGCGGCATATGATCGCGCGCATGCAAAAGGGTGTAGCTCGATTAGGCAAGTGCCAAGAATAGAGACAATGTCACTGTATATTTATTTATCAGATGTCTCAATGKTCAAATATATACACTTTGACTTCAATACAAAACCTAACTTAGTGAATAATTGCAATTTACTTCAATTTGTTGAAAACTAATTCCAGAACGTCTTAAATGTTGCAAAATTTCAGACAGAGCGAGGAGTTCTTCTTATGATGCGCGCGCGCTCTGAACGCACAATAGGTGACGGTTCACATCGCGACCCGCTCGACCAATCAGCAGCGCGTGATCAACAGGTAACCACCCGTCCGTTGCGAGRTTGATGGTATTTAAAATCTATCACATTGAAAGCTTAATTCGCCATGGCAGAGAGATCAATAACTCGATGAAAAACGCCGGATAATGGCTTCGGTGACTTGTAATTCCTCTCCACAGAGCTTCATCTCAAGGAACCGATCGCCAAACTCGCCTTCTGATGTTCATCTGAGAAAACCAAGAAACTCCAAAGACGAGAACTTCCCAGAGGTTCCAAAAGTCATCGAAGATGGCAACGGGAAAAGATATTTCCGAGGACGACTTCTTGGAAAGGTAAAATCTTTGTGTAATGAGTAATCGGGCAAATCGACAACGTCCATTGAATGTGAATTTGTCAGAGAAAATTTCTGTAAAATGCTTTGTAGTAATCGTCCTGTTTGAAAAATAGAATCTGAGGTGGAGAACCAAAATAACTTTGATTGTACATGGGACAATGCAATTATTGTAACATCATGGTGGAATTGTTCTTTCGCGGGTAGTGAAATTAAAAGTATTCATTTATTCAGGTGCTGATAAAATTAAAGACGAAATGTAGTCTATGAAAATATGTATAACTTTAAAATCTGGATATCTAGCTGATTAACTGGCCTTAAGTAAACAAAAACAATTGCTCATAGGTATTTTGAGCGCTTTTAGACAACTGAAGTAGTCAAGGGATGTTATGCTTATTTTTGAGCTTTATAAATATATCTCATTGTACCTGAGGTTAATTGACAATTGGGAATTAACATTTTTGGTAAAAGGCACTAAAAACAAAATACATGCATTCAGTGTACATCTCATTCAAATTTGATGCTATGTAAACTTAGCGTACTGTGTAGCAGCACTGGTAGCCAGACGGTAAACGTTTATGGGTCTTTACGAACTATATTCTTCATAAAATTATATTACCAGCTAAAAATAAAACCAAAAAAATTTCACATTGTAACAATGTGTACGCGACCAAAGATTGAATTGTTGATAAAGTGTGCTTTTTCTAAATTCACTTTGCTGAATTTTTGATGATGGTCGTGTCTAAAACTTTATAAACGTGGACCGGAGAAGACGCGGAGAACGTTCTTCCCTACTCGTCATACAACATGGCTACTCTCATGCAACTTGCAAACCGGGCGCATCAAAAGCAATAGGCTTTTTTGCGTRAAACGGTCACATGGTACTAAATCCGTCGGATGTCAAAAGAATGTAAACAACTTCAAAAACAAAAGGAACGCAGCCCGTCAAACTTGACTTTTCTTTGTTTTCAACATCCCAGTGGGTATTTTGTCATCCAGTATGGCGGATTTAGTACCATGTCGCTAGTTAGACAAATTTAATTGGTTAGAAGAATTGCAATCAAGATAGCGTCTGCTGAAATGTTCAGTGCTCTACAAGTCGGACAAAAATGAGCAAAAAAAAAAAAACAACTTTCAGTTGCACAATTAGGTTTTCTCAATTTGTTGCGGCGTTGCGCACAACATTCGGGTTTCTCAATTTCACGTGACTCGTAATTCCTTACTTTATTTCAGGGCGGCTTTGCTCGAGTGTTTGAGGCAACAGACATGTCTAACAACAAAGCTTTCGCACTTAAAGTCGTACCTAAAGAAAAGCTACCAAAAACATCCGGCAAAGTAAACAAGGTGCGAACCTTTAACCGCGTGAGTATAAAAACAGACCACAYAAAAGAACTGTACTTTACACAATTTACAACTATACCACACTGACTACAAAAGCTCAACATTACAAACACAAGAAGCCACSGACAAKTAAAAATATAAGCTCTAAAAAGTGTTGTATACATTTGAAAATTGTATAAAATCAAGTTAGCATATTAAATATTATATTTTGTTAACTTTATTAAACAAAACATTATCTATGATAGCACTAATGGAGTGCCTTGCAGACATATCTAAAATTCCCATCAYCTTCTACGCTTTCTGTTGTACGTTTCCCGCCTTTCGCATCAGAATATATTTGCGCGCGCGTTTCATTTTTCCCGCCATTTTTGCTGAAATGACCTGAAACTCTATTTGCTGAATATATAATTCAACTAAAGCGTTATTCCTACATTTCAAATTATTTGTATTTCAATCATGAGAATGAATGTTACTGTTCATGACTAAATAACTCAATTTAGTGAATTCTTGAAATGAGTTTAGATTGAGCGAGAGATCGAGCTTCACCGCACACTGCGTCATCACTTTATTGTGGGATTCCATGGCAGTTTCCAGGACCAAACGCATTATTACATCCTTCTTGAACTGTGCAGTCGCAAGGTAATAAAACTATTTGATGTAAAAAGGGAAAAATGATGATTTCTACATGTGCGAGTATCGTTTGCTCATTGATATCGCAGGCGCTCAATACTGGTCTCAAACTGAATGAGGCTTGAAAAGGTATTCTCTTTTTACAATAATTTTTTCAGTTAAAAAAGTTTTGCAGTTTTTTCAAGCTAGCCCCGCTATTTGTTTTTTGAAAGCGCTGTATTATCTCGGAAATTAGTCTAATATCTRTTCTGTAGGCTTTGTGACAATGAAGTTAATAGATTTAGTTATCAATTCATGTGATTCTGTTGCAGTCACTGGTGCAAATGCTAAAGAATCGAAGCAAGTTAACAGAACCAGAAGTCCGGTTCTTCATGCACCAGGCCGTCCAAGCGTGYTCGTACCTACACGATCAGCGCGTGATTCACCGAGACATCAAAGTAGGGAACTTYTTTATCAAAAGCGACATGGAGCTTAGRCTTGGCGACTTTGGACTTGCCATCAAGCTACAACCTACTCAAGATAAAATAAAGTAAGAATTTGATATTGCCACACTGTTGCTACGAGTGTTTGTTGAATATAGAGGGCAAAAAGATATAAGGAAAAATTAGAAAGAAAAAAGAAAGGACGAAACGGAAAAAGAGAAAAAAGAGCGGGTCCCGAGGCCGAGTGCCAAGTGACGTCACATCATATAATGAGCGAAGGGGAAAGCATGGGGACTAGCCTTGGTCTATAGCCTTGGTATGCAGATAGTGTTTAATGATGATTTTAGTAACGTTGCATATGTTTGTCATTGATTAACAGAACAATGTGTGGAACTCCCAACTACATAGCTCCAGAGGTTCTCTCAAAAGTGGGGCACAGTTCAGAAGTTGATACCTGGGCATTGGGATGTGTCATGTAAGAAACTGATGTGCGCGCTTTTGTAGAGTTAAAAAAAAACAATGTTAAAAAGAGGTTTAGATTATAGCATTTTTAAACTCTAGGTCATGTGGGAATGCATGTTTAGCTTCAAATCGAAGAAGATTCAAACTTCTAGAGCTATTGTAATCAGTGTCAACATATTCTTAAATATATTCTTAAATGTTTTTAGTAGGGTCTCTGCAGAAGTGAGTCTGTTGTCTACTAAAACAGCGGTTGCTCGCTTTGAACGGGACAAAGGCTTACATCATTCTCATACGTGCGCTTGCAATCTCAATCACAGGGAGCCCAAGCACTGAAACTTTTACTCAAAAAAATGGTCTACTTTTATTTTATTCAGCGTCACAATGCATTATAGATGGGTTTAAAAAAATATCCCCTACCTATATATATATAGTGACAATGGAGGAGACTCCGCTCGAAATTCTCCTAAAAATGAGCCAAAAACGATCGACAAAAATCCTTTTTTCGCACCGAAATTAAATAAAACGAAGTTTTATCTGAGACAGCATATGTAAATCAACGTTTTTTACCTTATTTTGGACGAGAGGCATCGATAGAATCGCTTTTTCGGGCAAAAAAATCCAAAAAAGTGTCCCCAAAAATATCCCAAACCCATCCGTGTCGATGGTATTCTGAGGCCACTTGCGCGCGCAATATTTTAACTATTATAGGTTCAAAGTCACTGCTTGGGCTCCCTGTGTCTCAATTTGAAAGCGAACGCGCATCATGGATTACTTAAAAACGCTCTACATAATTCTCTCCTCAGGTATACACTTTTGGTCGGCCATCCACCTTTCGAGACGAAATCATTACGAGAAACGTATCAAAGAATTCGTTCCAATGACTACACTATACCATCAAGAATATCCTGTAACGCGGCRAAGTTGATCCAGCGATTTTTGCAACCTAATCCTAGCGATCGACCCGATCTTAAATACGTMCTTTATGATGATTTCTTTCAATGTGGGATATTACCACGGTCCCTACCCCTCACGTGTTTGACAGGGACGCCGAAATTCTCTGAATATGATAAACAAACTATTACGGACCGGAAGGAGATTGTAGTTAATGGACTGTCACAGGCATTTGATCGAAAAATGAAAGTTGATTCCGACGAAAAAGAGATACCGGAAGAGAGAAGTATAACGAATGGTAGCCCCTTTGGRRTTATGGGTAAGAGGTCACCTCTGGGGTGCATAGATGGTGGCTCCAAGGGTAAAGATAGCGATGATAGTGATCGTGGTATCGAATCAGGTAAGTTTTAGTTTTATTAGAAGATGACATAACAAAACCATACGCGAATAATTTAGGTGTCATAGCACTTGTTTCCAAGTCAAACGTTAGGCCATGATGATTACCTACCCCATTAGACTGGTCACTTTGCATGTGATAACAAAAAGTACCATCATCTGAGGGACAAAATTGTTTCCTAGAGAGCTAGGATCCAGTTGCTTTGCCAGATTGATAGTTGGATTGTTTTAAGTAGATGCCAATTGACAGTGCATAAAAATCCTTTTTCCGACTCCAGCTCAGGGATACATGCTAACACATTAGCAATCTCTTAGTGAGGTAGTGAACAATACAGAACTACGTACATTGAGCTCCTAAAGAGACGGAGGAGAGGTAGAGGGGATAGGGAGAAGGTTAAGAATTGACGRTAACCAAGGTAGCTATAGATCCTCCTTGAGCTGTCTCGTATGGGGGTATAGAAACTTCTTGAGCGGTAATGCATGGGTATATGTAGATCCTCCTTGAACTGTCACGTGCTGGTCATGATTTGAAGAATTGTGGAAAATATATAATTTTGTATCTCTCTAATATAACCGATTTATATATTGTTTTTAYAGATCAAGAGACGCAAAAATACTTCTCTCCAGAGGGCCTATACGTCCAGCTATGYACGTGTCTAGAGACTCTTGACCGCACGTTTATTGAACGTTCAGGRGCGTTRTCGGAARTCAARGGRACWCAAAAACCAYTGCTTTCRCGGTTTAAGATCAGGAAGGACAAATTMAAACCTCAAGGAAAGATCGACGATTTTTCGCAAGTGTTTATCACAAAGTGGGTKGATTACAGCAATAAGCATGGTTTTGGTGCACAGTTTTCGGATGGAAGTGTTTCTGTTCGGTTTAATGATTGCACGAAGATTGCTTTATCGCAAGAYAAACGGTAAGAAACAGTTTGATTTACACTTTTGWAAGGATTTTCAGGGCGTGTCTWAGGGACTGCGCAATATYTATCAAGAGAAATGAGCCCAAACATCCAAAAAGTTCATTACTAYCCCCCTCTCKCAAACGAAWTAAATTACGCTCTGCCRTCCCCCCGCGGTYAATTTATTTATTTATCATTCGTAAACAAAGAGTTGTCGCAAATGGGGGCACATTTTTCTTGAGAAGTTTTTCACTTCAAGAAGTATTTGACCAAAAACACAGAATCTGACACCGTTGATTTTTCAGTTTCCAAAAAAGTTCTAGTTAATTTTAGACGTTGCCCCCATCTTTAAACACATAATATTAGATTTACCCCCCACCCTGGATTCTCAACCCAACCCCTGATAAATACTGCGCAGTCCCTTATTCAACTTTTCGCTTACTTTCCATACTTTCGCCGCGATGTGATTCGAGATTGAAGAGGTGAAATAATGCACAATTAACAACGTCTCTGTTTCTTCCTCCGTCACGCACCGGTTATTCTACTAATAGAAATGGGATTTTGTTTGATTCCTCTGAGATTTTCTTTGATTTCTTTTTTTCAGAAATATCTGCTATTGTGGAAAAGACAACAAAGTTGTGCGTTTTTCGTCGTCGTACATTCCAAGCGACATGGAAGTCAAGATAACGYTGTTGACTCACTTTGCTAATTATATGGATAAGCACTTACTCAAAGTAAATAGCTTTTGCCTCATCTTAGTTTACAGCAATTTTTGTTGCGGATAGACCCCTTTAGCTTTTACGTGATGTGCCATATAGGCAATGATTTGTAGGGTATATAAAGTTTTCTCTAAAAACTTTTCATTTCAGGGAGGCACTCAAAAAGGGTCTTCKACAACACATCAAGATAATGTGCCTTTCGTGGACATTTGGTTCCGTACWGATATCACCATGGTGATGTATCTTAGCAACGGTGCACTACAGGTTCGTGTGACACTTCACTTCAATTGAAATAAAACTTGTTATAACTAAAATAGAAACAACAATAACACAGTGCTGTACTTCACCGTGAACTTTTTCTCGGTGGCTTTCAACCTGTTACTGGAGAATTGCACAGTACAGTAAGAAGTTTATTTTTGTTTCTAAAACTAGCTTATAAGCGCAGCACGCGGCCGTTAGTAATCAAGTCTATTTATTCGTAACGCATTGCACCACTGTGCAGCTTTCTTCCCAAAATATTGAATCACGTTTTCTACGAACGCACGTGAAAAAGCTCTGGAATGCGCAGCGACGACATTTCGTGCAACAAAGCACGATGGGAGTGTAGTCCTTTGAAGTTCACCATAGCTAAAGCTGTCCGCTGTAAGCAGTTCCTTTGCTTTTTCTTTTCAAAAGTATAAGAAGTTGCGYGGCTTTTCTACATATAACTTCAAGCAAAGCTTGAAACGGATTTTTAGGAAGATTATTGTTCAAAATACAAAAACGATGAAAACGCTGATTCTCAACAAATCCGACCTCTTTCCACAGCCCTTTTTCCTTTATATGTTTGGGGGACAAACATCCTCGGGAATCCAGGGGTTATTTTCTGGGAGTGAGGAACGAACGACAGAAGATTACCCCTGGGTTCCCGAGGATGGGGGACAAAGAAAAAAGAAAGTGAAAAGAACCGTTATGGGAACGAGAAGTTGCATGCACAATAAACCAATAACAAAAAATATATGCATCTTTTTTTAAGGTGAATTTCTTCAACGATCATACTAAAGTTGTGCTCATCCCTGGTGAAGAAGAATGCATGCTAATATATATCAACGAACAACGAGAGAGCAATGCTCAACTACTAAGCGACCTTAATCCAGATACCTGCTCTCTACAGATCGTAGAAAGACTTTTGTATTGCAAAAATGTTCTTCGAAAAATTATGGAAGTGATTGCAGAAGAGGAAAGCAGCAAAGAATGACTGACATAAAGAGCAATATTACCCACTTTCAAGGGTGGGGTGGATAGTACTTTTGGTGTCGACAGGCTGCTTTTATTTTATATATTTTTAAAGTTTCGGGGGACAAACTGAGTTGTAGCTTTTTTGCTGAAAARAAATATTTTTAAATTAGACTTATTACAGGAGTGTATCTTTTCTAGAATTTGAAGTTCTAAATATATGAAACTCATTTAAATATAGCCGTTCTTCGTAAACTACCTTAGTGCTCAGGAAACCCAAAGCAAAATATTTCGAGAAGGACTGTACTGCTACTGAACTATGTTTTTTTCATTCAAAAATAACTCTTAACGTTTTTCTATATCAGTGAAAGAATTTATGTAGAATTTATAATTATTAGTGTGCATGAATTTGAATTTTGGAGAGATAAATGAGATTGAAAGATATTTAATAGACATATCTCTATCTCATTTTGCTAGGATGTCTTGCGATGGGCATATCATTGAACATCACAGAAAATGGTTTTCATTATATATATTTATTATTGGGATTACTGAGATGTATACTATAGAGACGTTTTTCAATACACGTCAAGGAGGGAAATTGAATTTTTGACAAGTAAATATAGTTTGAATTAAATGGTTTCTGAATAAAATGTTTGACTTTTAAATCTGTGTATTTCTTTTAATCCTTTCTTCCTTTTTTACTTCACTTTCTTTCAATTTTTATTCTCATGGTTGAGTACGACGCAAACGTAAACACAATGCTAAGTGCAAGTGCACAAGGCGCTTATTATACACCGTGAAAAATTAAAAGCAAGAAAATCAGCCCAAGACGAAATAGTTACTGCACAACCAATACCTAAGGAGCAAAATGTTTTCGTTCTCGCGTTTCATGGGGCTGCGTTTTGTTGCTACAGTAGAAAACGAGTTTTGTCAAATTTCTATGAATTGTGGCAATGATATTCAAGAAAATGAAATTAGAGGTTTTTTAAAATTTACATTACATGACAGCAAACGGAACTGAAGATACTTGTGCCGCGGTATTTTTCTTGGGGGTTTGTGTTCAATTATGGTTATAGCTTACTGGATTATYTATTCATCCAAATCCATTCTTCATTTATTTGTTCATTCATCCAAACWAGTCAAACAAATGCGTCATCGAATTTCTGTTCCAGTGATAGTTTTACCATATTTGGTAAAGTCTATTTTATGAACCCACAATATAGCCAGCCAGCGGTTATCCCCAATAATCTAAAATATTGTTGTTTACGAGATCCTCTTGCGAAAATTCTTTATTTTTTCGCTACGAAGAAAGACTACGACTTTAGCAAAGGTTATCAATTAASTGTTTTGTGCCACTGGATTTGAATGACATGAAATCGCTGGCCGAAGTCAAGTCCAATTCGAGTAAATAAGCTGCAAATCGATAGTTCTTGGCAAGCCCTCCAGCTCAAGCTTTATCGAACTTTATAGTCTAGTCAAATGGAAGGACAACAATATGACAATTTTATTGCTAATTACACAGGCCGACGTCCAGCTCCACTGTCGGCCTTAGATAAATTCTTAAACTGTCTTCGAGATGGAGATCTTGTAACGGTGAGTCTATAGTTTTAACATTCGATATAAATGTTGAAATTGCTGTACGACCCTATATTAAACTTATCGCCCTCAAGCTCTTTTAAATAATTTCTCATATATTGCTTGTTCAGGCAAAAAAGTTATTCACGGAGAAGAAATTTAATCCTAACGCCAGTGCACCAAATCGCACGGGGCATGCTCCTGGTATTGCTGCWATACACATTGCAACCAGGGAGGGTCATTTAGATTGTGTTGAATTCTTAGTGGAAAATGGTGCAGATGTCAATCTTACTGGTAAGTGAAATACATATATAAAGACATAAGTGACAGTGTGCAAACAMAAATAACAGCWCCCTGCAACTGTGCCATCTCAAAAGTATTACTGCAAGGCCAGAGTCATTAATATAATTGCTTAATAAGGTGGAGCTTGGCCCTCCGCAATCCTCTGATGGCTGCTAGGCAGGCTAATACCTACCCCTCTCGACAGGTTTTTTGTTTATGGTTTGGTGGGGGGGAAGGGTTGGGGGTATGTGGTTATGGAACAGTGGGGTTATTTAAACAGTGTTTTAATATAACTTGCCTGAATATAATACCCTTCCAGAAGCAAGAAGGAAAACACCACTGCACTTTGCAGCAGGGGGTGGCCATTTAGAGCTTGTAAAGTTCCTCGTTAAACACAAAGCTGCTCTTGACTTGATTGACAAGTTTGGACGRACACCSATAGTATGGGCAACTTCAGCCCAACACATTGACGTGGTGAAAGAGCTGTTAGAAGCTGGTGCTTCGATAAGTCAGGGAAATTGGCATCCTCTACATGAAGCTTGCAAAAATGGCAACTTGCAAATTGCAAAGACATTGATTAGTGCTGGTGCCCCAGTTAATACACCAAGCGAATGTAAGTCATGTTTACAAGCAACTATTTCACAACACTGAGTACAACACTGAGTACAACACTGAGTAGTGAAGATAGTTTAGCTTTGCAATATTGTATTATAGTTTAATTCTAACACACACTCTGATTGGCAGATTTCATGAGAAAAGTTATGTTTTATTTCGCCGGTAAACCAGCCCGGTGTCTTGAAAGACTATTGAGTTGGCTATAATATAAAAGCAATAAATGGCAGCTTGAAGCAGTTTATGGGTGAAATAAACTCTTGAGATGGTTGGAAAAACATCTCCCAACCATCCCGTTTCCGCACTGTTTATTTCATCAGTAAACTGCTTCAAGTTCGTTTTAATGCAGTGTTGGCTCATGTCATATCACCACTCTCTCTGAAACAGTGAAATTAACCCTTATAGTAGCCTGTGTACATCAGTTTCTTACCCCTCCCAGGGTGATAAATGGATGTACACAATACTTGTTATTTGGGAGGGTAGGGGTGAGAAACCGATGTACACAGGCTACCCTTAAAGTGGCTAAAACCATTTCTGTGCTATTGACAGAAAAGCATAATAGCTTTACAATCCAATGTACATATGACATCTTTTATACTGAGTACAATTTAAGGAAAAAAAAACAACTAATTGACCAATTCATTTTCAACAGTTAAAGGTTGCAAACCTTGGTCTCCACTACACATAGCAACCCGTGAAGGTAACTTAGATTGTGTCAACATGCTCATCGATGCTGGTGCAGACGTTCAAGCAAAGAATGCTGGCGGCCATACTTCACTCCAYGAGGCAGCATATAGAGGATTTACTGGGATTGTTAAGAGACTTCTTCAAGAAAATGCAAATTCTAACAGCCAGAATAACCAGAAAAGAACTCCCTTGCATGAAGCGTGTGCTCAGGGTAAGACTTAAGCACAAACAAGATAACAACTAACTCGCCAAAAATACATGTAACATGTTGGTCAACCTTCCATTTCTCTGTACAAAATATGACTATGGAGGACTATATCTTCTTGAATTATATTTTACTGTTTAATGTCAAACTTGCACTGGCAAATTTACTGCATGTATGACTGACTCTCTTTTCAATGGCAAAAAACGATAATTTGAAATTTCAATTGAATAGCAATACTCCACGAAATATGAACCACTGTTTTCTTSCACAGGAGATTCTCTTTGCAGGGAAAATTCAAATTTTCAAAGCTATTGTAATAGCAACATTTTATCATGCTTTCTTTTGTGTTTGATAACRTCTTTGCCCAAGAGCTAGACTTTCTCAAAGTCCGTTTTTCACTCGTTCCGTATCTTCGCCTCTCGCGCTCCGCACTCGACCATCGCACTTCGCGCTCAATATTCACCCACTCCTAGGAGTAAAAGAGAGTCCGACTTGGGCAAGTCTGCCCAAGAGCATCAGTTGTCAAATAAGAAGTGTTTTGGTTTGAATTTGAAAATGGAGTATTACTCTAAGTTTAACTATAATTATGCTTTCATATTCATTTTTTAGGTAAAGTATCTTGTGCACTTTGTCTACTTGATGCTGGAAGCAAGCCAAACTCTCAAGATATGATTTTTGAAACACCTCTTCACCTAGCATTGCGTGCTAGACACCCTCCTCCAACTGCAATTGCTCTTATGACTGTCTTATTGCAATATGGTGCTTCGCCATCCCTTATTGGTAACAACGATGAGACACCATTTGATATTTTAATTGACACAAGTCAAACAGAGTGCTTGGAAATGTTGGAAGATGCATTAGGTATGTACAGTACAAACTTTAGATGATTCAAAACCAAACTTAAATTTCAAATATCTTTTTGGTCCTAAAGAGTGGTAAACCATAACAAAAGCACGCCAAGTTTCACACAATGGCTAGTGTCCTAGTGCCATCTATAGTAACCTTAGTCAKAGGGCTCTCTAGATGTAGATTGGATCTCTAGAAGGGGATTTGAAACGAAGCCCTTTGTAAATTTGCTCTGGATCATTATGTCATCTAATTGACAGTACTCTGTTTTTCTTATTACTTTCAGAAAACCCAAGGACACTGAAGCAAATGTGTAAAGTCCTCATTCGTCGAAAGTTGAAATTCAGCTTAGGCAACAAAGTAAATCGTTTACCCCTCCCCCTGCCAGTACAGTATTATCTTACTGATGATGACATTGAGGACGACTTACGAGGAGAATGAGTCTCCTCTCTAAAGGAAACCGAACTTCATGTCTTGTCTTTGACAAAGGAAGCCTAGTTCACAGCAGAGGATGCTAACAGTCCATTTTACAGTTCTTTAGGCCCAACCACTGTCTCGCTTTGTTGAAAACACTTTGTGACCTTTCAGGACRGCACTTAGAATTGTAAAATAGAGTATTCTTACAGTAACAATATTTTTGAATTTTCCTTTCACAATAATTGCAACAATGTTTATTATTCTAGTAACCAATCCAGCTCATTGTTTATTAAATAAACTAGTATTTAATTAGCACRTGCTGTAAGTTCTGTAAGTGCTGTATTTCAAATGCATTTTTTAATATAAAGTATTTTGTATTCAATTTACTGTCAAATATGTCTGAGTTGAGAAGTCCAAATACTGTAATCCTGAGAAATGTGCTTTTACATGTATGTAATCATGGTCATAAAAGCACAAATGATAACAAAAGTTTCAAATTTACAGTCACAATTTTTTTTTAATCTCAACATTTTCAAGAATTGCCTAGACTTGTAAAGATTAAAAATATACTTTCCGTATATTATATTATACAATTTGGAAGTTTTGTATCAACATTTCTGGGAATTAATCCCTTAACTTCTCTCAGCCAATTTTCACCTCATAACCAGAGTTCTTCTTTGCAATATTTTTATACTTTTCAGCTTCTTTTGGGTTCTTTTCCACACCATCTCCTAAACTATACATTCTACTAACATTAGCACAAGCCCATGGATGGCCCATGCTACAACTTTTAACTGAAAGTTCAAAAGCTTTCTTCATGTCTTTTTGAATTCCATGTTTACCCAAAAGATAAAAAGCACTAAGATTGAAGCAACCATTTTTGTTTCTTCCATTACAGCCTTTTTCAAAGAARTCCATTGCTTTTTTAATGTCCTGCTTGATAGGTGATTCTTCTATTCCATTTTGGTATATTAAACCTGCATTGTTGCAGGCTCCAGCTTGTTTGTTGTCACAAGCTTTAGTGTAGAGCCTCAAGGCTTCTTCTGGGTCTTTGAAATCTAAGAAATAAAGAACAAGRACTGTCTTATAACACAAAGATAAAGCTGTTAGACATCAGTGTGCAAATAATAGACTTGCAAGGCATTTTATCTGTTTTCTGGTTGATAAAACAATTGTGTCTTATTAGGTCGGAAATTATTTTTTCCGAATTTATTCTTAAGGGTCTTTCTCTCAGAATTGCCAGCTCCTTCTAAGCACTATAATTTTCTTTCATTTCTATGTCTGTGTCTCATTAGGCTGTCAACATCTACCAGGCAGCCACGATAAAGACCCTTATTATCATCTAGTCTAAAGGCCCACGTGCACCCAAGAACCTTTGCACAATTTTTTTTTTCAAAAAGTCGCCATCTTTGATATTGAACCAATCAGAAAGCAAGTTTCAACAAGAGATTATTTGTGAAACAAAAGAACTGTGAGCGCAAAGGTTCTTGGATACACATGAGCCTTTAGGTCAACCTCAAATTCAAGGTTTGGGCTACTTGGACAAAAATTGCAAACCATTAGAAAAGACTTGGAAATCAAATATTCCTTCCTTCCTTGTGTCATCCATCTATTGACAGTGAAACGAGTCAAATATACTGCATCCATATGGGTCTAATAATCATGAAGCAACAGATTTCAAGAAGATATTGATACAAATCCTTAATAATTTGGGCAAAAATGTTGGAGTAAATGATGTCATTTACTCAATCCTTTTGTTCTTCCATCTTTTGAATCAAAATTTCTCTGATGTGGGATAATTACAAAAACAAATATTTTCCTGCAATTTTTTTAAATAGATATAAAGGAGTCACATATTTGTATTACTTGAAGTTTTGAAATAAGGGAATTGTCATGCAAGTAGCACTTTTAAGTCCTGGGAGAGACTGCTTATTAGATGCACCATTAAAGAATAACTCACAGGTTGCGCCACTAAAGCACTATTTTTTCTTCCGAGCTTGAGACAGAATCAGTGTACACATACCTTTCTGTGTCAAGTGTAAATTTCCTAATGCAAAGCAACTTTCCATAACTCCCAATTCATCACACGCCATTTTGTAAATTTCCTTGGCTTTGCYAACATTTTTCTCTACTGTCATGTAGAACTCTCCTAGTTGATGACATGCTAGTAAAATTACAATGTAACATGGATAAAATTAGGATTTTATGTACTGATTCATATGGAGTGATTCTCCATTTTCAAATTTGAAGCGAAAAACCAGTGCTTCATTTGACAACAGATTCAAACACAAAAGAAAGCATGAGCAAATGACTCATGTCGTTATCGCAATAGACGTGTAAATTTGTATTTTCCCCCTGTATTCATCATTTTCAAGTTACGTCACAGCTGCCATCTTGGAGGAACTTCAACAAAGGATTTCTCATTAGTATCTATTGTTCATTCCTCTAACATTGCCGCCAGCTGCCGCCAATCTTTTGAATTTCATTCGTTTTTCTGACACCATCATGGAATGGTTGAAAACAATCAATTCATATAAGACCTAAGATTACAGTATTAGCCTCAACTCGGTGAAAATGCAAATGGTTAGCGCTATTGCGCTTACAACATTTTTTATAGTTTCTTTTGTGTTTGGTAAAATGTCTTTGCGTAAGAAAATCTGCTGTCAAATAAAACAATTCGAAAATGGAGTACCGGTATTCTTGGATTGCACTTTAATGTCACGGCCATGTTTTGGATGAAGACTAATAAAGTGTGACACAAAATCAACTTGTGATCAGTAACGTTTTCAGTCATTCCAAAACTGTTGTGGATGGGGCGCCGGTATGTATAAAACCCCAATGAGATTTTCAAATAATGTGCTGGGCGTTTCATATGTGAACACTATTAAACGTATACCGTAATCAATAAAAAAAATAGTCTTTACATGAATTAAAGTGAACCAGAGTTTAATAAAGATCCCGTAAGGTTTAAAACTGTCCAACGCGGCTAGTGTTATGTAAGAAGTCAAATAAACTCAAGTCTCGAATCCTACACTTACATTCCTTTTTCTTGTATTCAAGACATTCGTGTTGATATATTTCTCCTAATTGTCTAAGATAAGTCTCCGTAGCTTCATTGACATCGCTTTTTGCTGACATTTTGGCTTGCAAAAAACTTTTACTGTCCGTCCACCATTTTGATTTTTGAAAGCAACCGCTGACCCAAAATATCGAGTTGTTAGTTCATCTTCCCCAGGCTTTTTGGCCGTCGACCTCCCAACGAAACAGGGTCCTCTTGAAGCACCATTTGTCCTAAAAAAACAATTTGACAATTCTCTTCAGTCCATTTTGAGATGCGTCAGGGCAAACAATCATTATGGCTGCAATGCTTATCTGACACAGTATTTTTCACGCCTGAGGCACAATTTAGAAACTTTTTCTCATAGTGAAAAACGCAGTTCCCATTCTCTGATCCTAATTCGTAGTAGGTTAGTACGACCCTGTGTAGAATAGAGGTGTCTCAGACTATTCGCTCTTATCTAAATTAATATAACTAATGCCCTTCCAAATCGGAATTTTGAAAGGGTATTCTCATGGGTTCTAAATTCATTGCGGGGGGGGGGGGGGGGGGGGGGGGGGGGCTTCTGAACCTTTTACGTCACTACTTGATTTTCAATGTATTGTGGGATCAGTTTCAAGAGAAAACATAAGAAATCTGCCATGTTCTGTCCCAAACATGTCCTACAATGCATTGCGTATACGATACATGACGTAGCTTCAGAAGTCTATTCCATTGCAAGAAAACTTTCAAGCACAGCAGATCAAAGACGAAACTTGATGATTCGGTGCATAGCTCTGTCAGTATGCATAATAGTCTTCACGGCGCCATCTTGAAAAGTAGCCGTACCTTTACATCGACGCGAGACCACCGTTGAGCGTGCAATGATAGAAACCTTCTTTTATACCTACAGACAATTATTCACAGGTTTCTATCATTGCACGCTCAACGGTCGTCTCGCTTCGGCACTGCTACTTTTCAAAATGGCGCAGGGAACTACATGTATTAGCATGGGTCCAAGATGGGATTGGAGTAAGGATCTCCCTCGTCCCTTTACCAATGTTTTTAGGCCCGCTACATAGGCTAGCACATAGTTCCAGTTCACAAGCTTTATCCGCTCCAAGACGTTTCTTTATCAGTTCGGCATTCAGTTTTATTCTATTTCGTATATAAATTACAATTATCATTATTAAAAACGATTCTAGCTCAGTTCAAATCCTGCCCCTGATTCAACAGCGTACAGAAGCTTTTCTCTCATGGTGTCATCGTCGGGAAACTCGGGTAATTTTAGGAGATTCATGCAAGTACTTGCTGTGGGAAGCCTGTCTTCTTGTCCAGCACTGTGGACGCAAAAGGCTGGGTACAAGTCCTAAAAAAACGTAAGAAAATAAAACGAAATCTAGCACAAGTAAAACAAAAAAATATCTATGTCAGTGTGAGCTGAGCCATACGCAGTAACATGCTCAATTAAAGCAACATTTAAACGTACCTTGAATCCTAACAATGGTGGTCGTGAGCAACTCGTTACGAATTTTAATAGTTGTCTCTTTTGCGTGTCGTCGAAGCTCTCGACAGCGCGCCAAAACGATTGTATGCAAGGATGGTCTTCATTAAATCCGCCTAATAATTGTAAATTAGATATTAGATCTGATATAGGATAAGTGAACAGTAGAATATTTTGTCGYGAGACTATTATGCGATACAAAGAAAGATACAAAGAAAGGATAGAACTTGACGAAAAGAAGAAAAAATGGAGTTAGATAATGTTGGAGATGACAACAAACACATTGATGGTGCGATAATGATGACGATAGTGATGGCGATGGTGGTGGGGTTAACTCTAACCTGAGTAATTTGTGTTTCGCTTTAAATCCTCTACATCGACGGGGACTTGCGCACCAGAGATGAGAACCTGATGAATAAAACATCATCAAAATAAACCAGCTAAGTTCGCATCAAATCGAATCAGTTAGAGACAAGATGCTGATGAGTAAAACACCATCAAACACATCTCAGTTCATGTCAATAAAAAGGTCAATTAAAGAGTCAATGATGTTGATAAATAAAGCATCGCATGAATAAAAAAGCTGAGTTTATATCATATTATTTAAAGAGTCAGATGAAATTCTGTCGAATAAAACATCAAAATAAAAATGCCTGAGTTTTAATCAAATTTAATCATGAGTACGTGAAAATTGCAGCCAGGATTCATAATGGAACAGAAACACTTCTAACTTAGATATATAATCAAAAGTAAGTTATTCAGACGTTTTGGTCTGCTAACATAGACATCCATAAGTGTTAAAACTTAAAGTCCACCTCACCCAATTTTTTTTATATTTGTAAAGAAAAGACTTTTGTCATAGTAACAACAATTTGTACAAACAAATTTGATTTCGTTTATTTAAACTACATTTTGAAGCGAAAACAACCGCGGACAAAGCCAATTTCGGGATTCCTGTGTGCCTGATCAATGTCTTCGTGATGACGTAGAGGGAGTAAGTCGTTCGAGAGACAACGATAGATACCTACAGTGAAATGACAGTAAAAATCAAATCTGAAACAAGAGAACCTGGAATTTGAACAGCTGTAAATACTACCTACATATATTGAAAGAAGTTACTTACCTGGGGCCGTAAATAACTTTTCCTGTTCCAGGGATGCCAACCCCCGAACTTTTCAAATCTTGAGAACGAAAATGATGACGTCATACCAGAAATGACGTTTCATAACATTATCGATGACGTCATCGCATTTATCAAATTTCGTTATAACTAGTGATTTGACTGGATGTATCTTAACCAATCATATTATAGATTGTATTGTGCAATTGAAAATGGCCGCGGATGGCGTGCAGTGTTATATTGTTATCAGAAGACTGGGATTTTTGTATTTTTTCAGAACTAAAATGATATGCAAGGTAATTTGAGTTTTAATAGATGAAAAGAGATATTTCAAAAAAACTGATATATGAATCGTCATTATCCGGGAGATTTAGCGGTAAAATCTTGAGACCDKGRGAAAYGRTCGAAAATCTTGAGACTCCCGGATTATCCGGGAGAGTTGGCATCCCTGCTAGTGTTCCTCGATATTTATCTAGATCTATACGCAAAAATGTTTGTCCAGAATAATCTCTCAACACTTTGGCTCCATTTTTATAGCCAAGACATGAAATAACGTTCAAATCGTCAGAATAATCTCTAGTAGCATTAGATTTGCCGTTTCAGGCTGGATTATCCCACGTTCAGTCTTAGAAAACATAGATTTGTAATGAAATATGTGGAACTTGTACAGTAAACTTTGTATTTACCGAAGGACGAGTTACTCCATCTACGTCATCAACCCAGGCTCCCTCTCACTCGGCCAAAAATCATTTGGCCGAATTAAACGAGCATAAAAAATATAAAATTTGGAAATTCGATTTTTTTTATGTGAATTTGTGGTTTATAACTCCTAAACTTTTTTTTCCAACTGTAAAAAAAATTGGGTGAGGTGGACTTTAACAAAAGACCATTGGTATTGTTTGAACTGACGCGCGCACTAGTACCAACGATCTTTTTGAAAAATTTTCGCACTGATGAAGGATTTAGCAGACCGAAACGCCTGAAAAAATATTGATTGTATATTTAAGCCAGAGGAAAAGTATTTCATTAATAATTATTTTGTACCTGAATCTCTTGGTGGTCGAACATACGCAGCCAGTCCAAGTCAATAACGCCCGCGAGACCAGCTCGAAAGACTTGACAATAGCTGTGAATCTACACAAATGAAACACGATTCAACGTTATTCTTCGTTTTTACCTACGTCACAGCGACCATATTGGAGGAACTTCAACAAAGGACTTTTCATTAGCATTTATTGTTTATCCCTCCAACATGGCCGCCGGTCTTTTATCTTTTGAATCTCATGGGAATGGTTGAAAACGATCAATTTATTTTGTAATAAAACAAATTGACAGTTAAAAGCTATACTTTCGTCTAATAATCTCCCATTCCCTGTTCCCTGCGCCATCTTGAAAAGTAGCCGTGCCTTTGCATCGAAGCCAGACAACCATTGAGCATGAAATGATAGATACCTGTGAATAATTGTCTGTAGGTGTGAAAAAAGGTTTCTACCATTCAGTCCCGTAGGCTGGGGGAATTCTGGGGGTTCGGACGAACCACCCAGAAGCTTAAAAAGTCCGGTGTTTTTCTTTTATTATTGTTGTGTTTTAAAATTCTTTTGTTATGAACTGTTTTTAAGATTATTTTGTTATGAACTTCTTATTCTAGCATCCAGTTCTTATACACTATACTAATTTAGTTAAACATTTAATTTAGGTCGGCATTATGAAAAAAACGAACCCCCCATTTGTAAGGCAGCCTACGGGCGCCTGTCATTGCACGCTCAACGGTCGTCTGGCTTCGATGCAAAGGTATGGCTACCTTTCAACATGGCGCACCTAATCGTGAAGGAGACTATTGTCCAACGTCCGGGATGTTAGTATGTATTATCACTAACGACAGTCTATCTGTCTTACCTGTCTATTTAACCGATAGTCGGCTACAAGGTGTATGTACAGTATTCTATTGCTGTTTGTTACAGCGATGTCTTTACCATTCGGAAGCAGCTCAACTACCTGGAAATGAAATAAGTCATACATTGTTGGCAAAAGCGAAGCACAGCATTATTATATTATAAATTATCTTTGAAAAATGTACATTTGGACTTTATATCTTAATCGTATATGGAAAGGCTGTATCGTAGCCGTATCG